AGCATCTGCATTCTTGGGCAGTTTTTCAACATGACAATGATACTTTCCCAAGGTGAAACTCCTGCGGTGAACAAGTATTTCACATGTTGAGCAACCGTCCTCAGCAGGGCCTGAAATTAACACCCGACCACCTGCCAAATGCGGGTGAATTTTTCTATTGGCGGGTAACACTGTCAATCTACCTGCCACATTGGCAGGTATAGCCAATGAGAATTGAGTGATTCATAAGGATTTTAAAATTTCAACTAAGTCTGCCATTGCGTTTGACTTTAGCTAAAATGTGGCGGCACATTACTGGGGTAAAGAGGCCAGCTGAAACAAACAACCAACAAAAATATGAGGATGAGAAAAAGAAAAGTAAAAGAAGACATTTTAATACAAAGTGGACAATTGGCGGCAATGGCAAGGTTCGTAAAGCGGCTGATTTATGACAGCAACTGTTTCGTAACGTTCATGCGATCAGAAGAAGACGAGGCCCTTTTCTGACTACGTTTGGATGTGCGAGTATTAAACTGTTGGTGAGATGGGATGAGATAATGTAACGCTGATGTAGCCTACAGTACAATGAGAGTTGCACAGATGTGTGTTGGGAGTTGGGATGGAACCAGTGAGAAAATATCCGGTACCCGGTAACTTTACCAGTAATAACAATATTAATTTAGTTCATAGTTAACGGTTCCTGAACGCTGTAACTAAAAGCTGTCAGGATCTGTCTACGTGACTAAATCATCCATCAACACAGCCGCGTGTGATTTGTTTACATACGAGCTGCGGTAGGTCTGCCTGTGTTGAGTATATACTATAGCCTATACTAGGCTATATTGTGTGAGTGTCAAAATCAATGAATAAAACGATTTTTTTTAAAAATGTATGTTCTTAGAGTTTTTATTATTACTTGACAGAACTTAAATGTGTATTCTTACAAGTGAAAGAACAATATTGTGAAATTCCCGTTTTTTCACCTTTCTATAAAGGTGAAGGAAAAAAAAAAACAGAAATTTCACAATATTGTTCTTTTTACCAGCCATTTTTTGGCTGAGGCAAAATATGAGGCAAAAAAAAAAAAAAAAAAAAAAGTGGCTGGTAAAAAGTCTCTGTGGCAGGTGAATTTTTAAATCCACCTGCCACAGTGGCCGGTGGCCGAAAAAGTTCAGGCCCTGGTCCTCAGCAAACATTAGAGCACTCAAAGATGTCATCCTGCACCCATCCAGGACCAATTTTACAGATACTGATGACATAATTGTATGTTTTATTAAGTTGCCCATAGGTTTAATACATCAAATTTGATTAATTTTCCCATGAATTATGGTAATATCACTAAAATTAGAAATATGTTCAGAGGGGGCGTATTTATATAGTGTTTGCCCTATGGTAACTAAAAAATTTTTGCATCATGCCAAGTCTATGCCACTAGATGTCAGCACAACACAACACTGTTACTGTAAATGATATGTTAGTCTGGGTACTTTTTTCTTAGTCTACTATGAGTGAACAGTCAGTTTACCCTTGTTATTTACAACTAGACACAGTGGTTTTCTTCATTGTTTTGGTCAAAATTAGCTACACAAAGATGTCAGATGTCATCTCAGGAGATTTCGCTAGAACAGCTCACTGCCCTTTTCACAGAAGCTCACATAATAAGACGCACCGATGTCTTCCACCCTATTGTTCCTGACTTGTTGAAAGTTTTTGATGAATCCAGCAAACACAGAATATTCCCAGAAATTCCCAAAGGTTTTGGCAAGGTTCTCTTAAAGTTATGAACAAATGTTCTCCCTGATTAATAGAACGTTTTTTTTTTTCAAAGATATCTGGTCTATAATAATATCAAAACTTTACAGAAATATCTACGCTGTTTATGGAACTTTAAAAGGTCACTTTGAAATTAATTTTTGATTAATTTTAGCTTAGGCTACCTCAAGGGCATCCAAGATGTAGGTGTCTTTGTTTCCACAGCATTTTCAAATATTTCTGTATATTATATTTTGTTAAGTTTTTTTATGTGATTTACTGTGTTTTTGCAAAAAAAAAAAAAAAAAGTATTTATATTGTTTTTACCTCTTGTTAGTTTTACCTTTCACTAAACATATTTAGATATATCGAAATCGTCTTCCATTGCGATTTCCCGTATATCTAAATATGTTTAGTGAAAGGTAAAACTTCCGAAATCTCTGTGTAAACAATGCGTGACGTAGACGCACGAGAGATCACTTCCGGCGTAACGTTGGAGACACGGTTCAGTTTGGTTCAGTTCAGTTCAGTTGGACATCTGATTCAGATCAGTTCAACGGCTGTTAAAAACAGGTAAAAACAATATAAATACTGTTCGTTTTCTCACACAAACCGCTAGTTTTAAGGCCATCAATGTGTAGCTACTTATTTACGAGTCATTAAATCATGTTTAATTTTGACTTCTCTGTGCATGCTCTTTGAGGTGAACCGAAGGAGGACTCCCTTAACCTCCAGTGTATGACTGACAGACAACAACGCTTTGACCAAAAAAAATGTCAAAATTGAAAATACTGTGGAAACAAAGACACCTACATCATGGATGGCCTTGAGGTAAGCTTAAACATATCAAAAATTAATTTCAAAGTGAACTATCCCTTTAAAACACGCACACACACACACACACACACACACACACACACACACACACACACACACACATATATATATATATATATATATATATATATATATACTAGTTGGATGTTCGTCTGATATTTTTAAATGTTTCAGAATGTTCAGAGAACGTTCAAAAGTAACATTCCCGTTATGTTTGTAAAATGGAACGTTGCCTTAAAAGTAGCGTATGGGTAACACTTTTTATTTTACTGGAACTCTCTTCACATCCTGATAGCAATCAATAATAGAAGTGGTCAAAATATTAAAACATGCACATATACCCACCTTCTTTCTGTGGAATGGATAGCCTACCTGTCTGTCATAGACACTAGACGTCACCTTGGGGTTCTAAGCATGCATCAAAACCGCCGGTTGTCAGAGGAAGTAGCTAGGTAACGCTGCTATCTCTGCCTTCGAAGAGTTGTAGACCAGCAGTCGTTGAGCGCCACAAACAAACAGCAGCCAACTTTTAAAGTTCCTTCCGTGATGTTCTATTCTCTCAGACTCAGATTTTTGTGTTTCTATGTCAACAACAATCAACTCCGAAATGAATCTGCAGCAGTCAGGTGGGACAAGTCAGAGCTCTGTAAGTTGTTTATGTTCAATATTATTGTATTATTGTAGGCGGTAGCTTTTGAGACTTTCTGAAGGGAGGATGGGATCTTACGTTTTCAAAGCTAGCTTGCTATTGCTAGTCTCTTTACATTGCTCACAAGTGCCTTCCCTACCTTTATACGGTCACATAACCAGAAAATGTAACGAAGATCCAGAGGACATTCAGAAGTTAAATTTTCATAACTTAATGGAAAATGTAACACAATAGTATACAGAAAAGTAGCATAGGAAATATATAAGTGCTAATATAGTTCTGAAATATAAGCGGATTCCCTGTTGAACACCAACTCATTCTGACACACTTAATATTTTTATTTTAAATGCAGTTTTATGAACTCAAATTGACCAAAAAAGTGTTTTGTGGGCTCCCCCTTGAGATGTGCAAATATGCCTACAATTTCTGTGTGAGTTCTGGTTTGCAATGTACCCATTGTTGCACTTTAAAAAGTGTACAGTTCATGTTGCCTTAAAATTATTCAGTAAATAAATAGAATGTTTCACTCTCCATGAATCTTGATGCTGCTATTTTAAATTAATTTTTGGTATGTTTTAGTTTACCTCAAGGGCATCCAAGACGTGGGTGTCTTTATTTCCACTGTAATTTCAATTTTGATATATTTAGGTCAAACCGTTCTTGTCTGTCAGTCATATAATGGAGGTCTATGGTCACCACCTCAAAGAGCATGCACAGAGAAGTCCAAATTAAACATGATTTAATGACTCGTAAATGTAAGTATTGATGGCCTAAGACACGAAACGAGCGGTTTGTGTGAGAAAACGAACAGTATTTATATCGTTTTTACCTCTTGTAACCACAGCCACAAAGCGCCCCGCCCACAGATCACTGGACGTGGCTGTACTTACAAGAGGTAAAAACTACATAAATACTGTTCGTTTTCTCACACAAACCGCTCGTTTCATGTCTTAGGCCATCAATGTGTACTTACATTTACGAGTCATTAAATCATGTTTAATTTGGACTTCTCTGTGCATGCTCTTTGAGGTGGTGACCATAGACCTCCATTATGACTGACAGACAAGAACGGTTTGACCTAAAAATATAAATACATACCAAAAATTGATTTCAAAGTGAACTATAAAACAGTAATATACATATTAGGCAACAAGTGAACAATCAGTTCTTGAATTTCATGCGTTGAAAAGCAGGAAATATGGGTAAGTTGGCCCAGCCACTGTGGACAGGACCGGGCTTTTTCTATGGTAACCGGAGCTTCTAATGGTAGCTGCAGTGGCACGACCAATTGCCAAATGGCTCCTTTATTTAGTTTTCTGCCATATTGTTCTCATTGTTTTTTAACTGTCATGTTATAAAGAGCCTTCAGTCTCTCCTTAAAAGTCTTTTTGCACAGTCCGAGACATTCACATACTTGAAACTAAAAAGCCAAGATAATTTAATTTTGGTCAAGTGATTCTAATGCCTCTCAGTCTGTCCATATCACTTCACTAAGAGGCAATGTTGAAGAACTAGGTGTTATATCTGTGTCTGACTGCAGGCTGTCGTTGTATTATTCTCTTTGGGCAGCTTGGTTTCAATAAGAGTTGTTTCTGGAAATGTCTTTATGACTAAAGACAGGGGAAATTGGTTTTCTCAGTTCATGACCCCTTTTATTAGCCAAGGACAAGCGAAAAAATTAGGCCATGAATGTAGGTCATGTGCTCACTGAACAAAAAAAAAAAAAAATACTGACAGACAATAACAAACCAACAATGAAGACATTCATGAGCATTAGTCAAAACAGGAGCAGAAGAGCGTCTCATTTTAATAGTAAAGAGAGAAGTTTAATACACAGAATGACATCACCAAAACAAGTCACAATGATACAGCAGGAAGTACATGATAATCAGAGAGGAAGTCTGAGTCGTTTTTTTTTTTTTTTGTAATGTCCCCAAGCCCAAAAATATCAGTACACAAGCAACTGTGTTTACAGCACTATAGGAGAAAAGATAGCATCTGCACCATGTCTGAAGAATTACCCTGATAAACTACTACAGTAACAGTTATAGTTAGTGTTTGAGCCCCACTTCATATCAAACATTTCATAAAGATACAGTAAACAACTGACAGATGAGTGTTTCGGTTTCATTTTTTTTTTGTTTGTTTGTTTTGCGGGTTTTTCATAGAGGATGGTGTATAAAAGGCACCATGGAAGGTGAAAAATCATCTCGAGACACATAAATGGAAATTATATATTTCAAAAAGGATCATCAAAGAGTTTGCTTGATTTGTGCAGTTTTGTTGTGCTAGTTTTTTTGTTTTTTTTCCGTCTGTCAAAGAGTTGACCAACATGATGTGATTGAGAAATGAATGCAATTTGCTATCATACACTGAATTCCATCATCATATCGTATGTATTTGGTTTTTTTAATATGTAAATGTTCAGGTTCATCAGCTTCCCTCTTTTCAACATAACTTTGGCTTTCTAAAAAAATGACACGGTACCTTAAAAGACACGTTCCAACTCAATTTCAAAAGGAATAGTCATCCAAAAATGGAAATGCTCATCATTTTGTCGCTCTAAACCTGTATGACATTTTATCTTGGACAAAGTAGTCATTTGGAAGAATGTTCATGCTTCTCTTTTTCATACCACAAGGCTATTTGGAGCTTCAAATAAGCACCATAAAATTGTTCAGGTATGACTTACAATAGCTTTGTGTGAGAAAAAAATCATTATTCATTGAAAATTCCCATGATGCGTCACAACTGGATATAACACAAATGGCAAACAATGGCATGAAATCTTGCATCGGCATTTTCTTGTGAATGACATTTAAGAGTTGCAGTTTCAGTGGATAAGGGCTTAAATTGTCTGTTCCCCACATCCAAGTCCTACCGGTTTTAATTTCCCATTCCTTTAATCCAATCCATTTGAACAGAAATCTGCTGCTGTTATTACCTAAACACTTTTACCTTTTTACCTAAACTTAATGTGATTGTTTTTGAAAGCAAATAGACCTTGTTATATGGCTTTTGGCCCCCCTCTCAATTTTTAATGAGTACCTTCAGAGCTATTGTCATTTAACATTATATCTGTTTTTAAGTCATCGCAACAATGTAAAAACATTGATGTTGGTGTCTTAGAGTAGGCTGTACACATTATTTACAGTGATAGGAATAGAGACTTTTCTGTGGGCTCTATTCAACCTCATGGGCTTTAAAACACACTAAACCATTGCACAGAGAGAGAGAGAGAGAGAGAGGGTTACAAAAAGAGATTAATAAAAATTATTAATGGTGCAACCAGTTTTTTTTCTCTTTTTTCCCTTTTACGATTTTTTTGTTGTTGTCTTTTTTGTCTTGTACAAGTCAGACTATTACACCCTTGTAAAAATGACTATTTGCTGCTTGAAATTCATAAGACCAAGCTTTTAAAAAAGTCAGTATGAAAAAGTCAAAACTATTGGTTTAAAAAATGATGGTTGGATGTTTAAAGAGCTAAACCGACCTGCTGTGTGTTAACACTTAAGTTTCTCAAATTTCTCATATATATAAAATGAATTCCCACAGCAGACCACATGTACAAATTTGGGTGTTTGTTGTTATAATACAAGTGAAAAGTGCAGCATATGCCCCGCATATACTTAACATTTTCATCGCTCACTACAAATCTATTATCAAAACACAGAAAATGGATGCAACAAATTCTCAAGCAGCAAATAGTGCACTGACCATCGCTGAAAAGCTTCGAGGCCTGCAAAGGTGATGCGTGCATTCACCCTGCATGGCAACTAGGGCGGCGATGTTGATGTTTCCAAGACAGATAGCACCGGAGATGCCTCTGTTACTGGCGTGCGGGGCGGAAAGGGTCTACATGGACTCCCCCTGTGAATCTTCATCTTCCAGAGACAGAGGCAAGTATAGATCCTAGAAGTGAAAAGAGGGCAGGGTGAGTTTATGTTAACATCCTAATTAAGAGCCAGATTTACCAAACAGCAAATTAACGCGAGACCGCAATCCTATAAAAGCGCAGATTGGAGTGGGATTTGCCCAGATAAATTAAAATTAAAGAACACAAATTAGCGGGTTTGCAAACCAGCTGAGCCGATGAGAATCAGGTGCAGTTGGCAAACTTTCATTTGCCCTCTGTCATTCCAAATAAATGAACACGAGCAGAGAAAATTTTGAGAAATATGATTTACTTACCCCCATGTCATCCAAGATGTCCATGTCATTCTTTCTTCAGTCGAAAAGAAATTAAGGTTTTTGATGAAAACATTCCAGGATTTTCTCCATATAATGGACTTCAATGGGAACCAAACAGTTCAAGGTCCAAAAGACACTTTCAGTACAAACTGCAAACTGTTCAAAGGGCTTTAAACGACTTCAGACGATGATTAAGGGTCTTATCAAGCGAAACGATCACTCATTTAAAAAAAAAATAAAGTTTTAATTTTATAAGCTCAAGTGGTCGCCTTGCTAAGTTCTGTGATGCGTGTTTGTGACTCTCCTGTTCGAAACTCGTTCATCAAAATGAACGAATCTTTTCACGAGTCATTTGGTTGATTCAACGAACGAATTGACTCGAAAAAAGATTCATTTTGATGAACGAGTTCGAACAGGAGAGTCACAAAAGTGCGTCACAGAACAGAGCAAGGTGAGCATTTGAGCTTATAAAACTTAAACTTTGTTATTTATTTTTTAAATGAGCGATCGTTTCGCTTGATAAGACCCTTATTCGTCGTCGTCTGGAATCGTTTAAAGCCCTTTGAACAGTTTGCACTGAAACTGTCTTTTGGACCTTGAACCGTTTGGTTCCCACTGAAGTGCATTATATGGAGAAAAAATGCTGTAATGTTTTCATCAAAAACATTAATTTCTTTTCGACTGAAGAAAGAATGACATGGACATCTTGGATGACATGGGGGTGAGTAAATTATCAGCTAAAGTTTTTATGCATTGCATTGTGGAATACATGCAGTGTGCTCATTTTTGTTTAAAGTTAACAATCTGCATACTGAAAGAAAATGAACAATAGTATGGTAACATGCCAATCCAAACATATTCAGAAAAGAGATATGAAGGAATAGTTCAGGCGGTAGATATTGGAATTGACAGATCATTACCTTCTGTTTGCGAGTGCTGCCAGGGCTAGTCGGGGTCGAGATGGGCGACTGCTTAGAGATGGGCGTAGAGAGCTGACTACTGGAGCCGGTTCCGTTAGCTAGAGAGCGAAATACAAAGTGCAAATGTGAAAGAGAGGGATAGAAGGAGAGCCACAGACAGAAAGATTAAGGGAAAAGAAAAGACAAATTGTGGGGTTAGACAGTGTCTTCCCTCCTTTCTGCGTAATCATGTTGTCAACTGTCGTCTAGCCAGCTGCGAGTGTGTGTATCTGTTTGCTGGAACTCATTTCCACATCTCTCTATGAATAGAGCAGGTTGCTATGAGACACCAGAGCTGTGTTTATATGTGAGAGTGGTGTGATCGTGTGTGTACTAATGTACTAAAGGCTTTCTTTTAAGCAGTACAAAAACCTAAGGACCAGACGCCAGGCCTTAAAACCCGCTCCAGCTAATGAACAAATAAAACAAAGAGAACAGAACCTCAGATGAAAAGCCAGGCGCTGTTGGAAGACCTGGATAAGGAGATATGTAAAAAAAAGTGCTGATCTTAGCCTTTCATGTGCTAATTAAATGCAGATTTTCTCTAAGTTAGCCTTGCTGTGTGTTTCATGATCGGTTTACACCCCTAAAAATGCAAATAGGTCCATAAAAAGTTTTTTGGGGGTCACATTTTACGCTATATAGGTACAATAGCTCGCCCTAGGCTTTTGTGTCATTATCACTTAAACATCTGGTGCTAAATATTAAAGAATATGAAGAGCCTACAATATAATTCAACACTGTAAACCCTTATGCTCAGAATAATTGAGTGTAGGGTAAACTTAAATTGAACAAATTAGTTCAATCAAATGAACTTTTAAGAGTATGTAAAACTTTCTTTATCTTTTGAGTTCACAAAACTTTCACATTTTAAGTAATATGCATTGCTTCATTGTTTTGAGTTTTAAATGGTTTCTGTTCATTTAAACAACTTCAAATTAACCAAATTTGGGCTGGGATTTTTATTTCCCAGCATGCTTTGCCATGGCACTCGAATGTGAGTCACGCTCAGGAAAAAAAAGGTACAAATGCTGTCACTGGGGCTGTACCTTTTCAAAAGGTACTGTACACTTTTGTACCCAAAGGCTGCATTTTGGTACCTTAGAGGTACATATTAGCACCTAAAATGTACATATTAGCACCTGAAATGTATATATTAGCACCTGAAATGTACATATTAGCACCTAAAATGTACATATTACCACCTAAAATGTACATATTAGGACCTAAAATGGACATATTAGCTCCTGAAATGGACATATTAGCACCTAAAATGTACATATTAGCACCTAAAATTATTAGCACCTAAAATGTACATATTAGTACCTGAAATGTACATATTACCACTTAAAATGGACATATTAGCTCCTGAAATGTACATATTAGCACCTGAAATGTACATATTAGCACCTGCAATGTACATATTAGCACCTGCAATGTACATATTAGCACATAAAATATACATATTACCACCTAAAATGTACATATTAGCACCTGAAATGTACATATTAGCACCTAAAATGTACATATTAGCACCTGAAATGTACTTATTAGCACCTAAAATGTACATATTAGTACCTGAAATGTACATATTACCACTTAAAATGGACACATTAGCTCCTGAAATGTACATATTAGCACCTAAAATGTACATATTAGCACATAAAATATACATATTACCACTTAAAATGTACATATTATCACCTAAAATGTACTTATTAGCACCTAAAATATATATATTAGCACCTAAAATGTACATATTAGCACATAAAATATACATATTAGCACCTGAAATGCACACATTAGCACCTAAAATTTACAAAAGTTTACCTTTTGAAAAGGTACAGCCCCAGTGACAGCTTTTGTGCCTTTTTTTCTGAGAGTGAATGCTAAAATTAATTGTTAGTTCGTGTTTTTTTCTTTGTGTGCAAGATTAATGTTAAGTGGAAGATTAGTAGTGTTTAATGTTTTGCTATGCTAATTCAAAAGAGTTTCTTTTTTTGGGGGGGTGGGGGTGGGGGGGGGGTAAATGTTAAATGTTCTATATCGTCTAAACGGATATGTTAAATTTTCTATATTGTCTTACTCCTTCAAAGCATTGTGTCACCAAGCAGGTTAGCATTGACTGAATTAGCAAGTTTCCATTTCTAAAAAAATATTTACCTTGGGATTACATGTAAATTAAGTTAAATTTAAGAGTTAGCTAATGCAAATATTTCAAGTTAAGAGCAATTCAAATGGACAGTACAAAATAAAAATTTCTTAACTTAAAAAATGTGATGCAACAGACTGCCTACATTTTTTCGAGTTTTGCCAAATTTTGGGGGTTACAGTGTAAACTGCTAAGCTGAACTTAAAACTCTGAGCCCAAATAATGGTGTAAAATATGGAATGAAAGAGAATCTGATTAATAGAGAACTAAATGGATGTATAAACCAAGAACTGATGGTAAACAAAAACAAAACAAAAAACAAATATAAAATGCTGGAAAATGTCCTTGTTCATTTATTTCAAAAGGAGAGCAGTTAAATACAAAACGTACAATGTGGGCGTTAAAGAAGAAAAAAACAAGGGGGGGGGGGGGATATAAAGAAACATGCAAGGGAATAATAATAATAAAAAAAAACATTAGTCCAGCCACCACTGAGTGTGCACAGTGATACAGATACACTGATTTAAAGCACACAGGCCATGCAAGAAAAGTTAGCATGCACAAATTAGCTAGTCTTTTTGTGTGAAACAAATAATTCTTCATATCAAAATTTGTTTTATGGCTTTTAGTCCATGTCTGGCTTTTAGGTTTGAGGTTATCTACTGTATATTATAGTGTAAACAACAACAACACAAATAATAATGTTAGCAAATAGACCTATATTTATACATTTTTCTTCTTCCAGAACACACACACATTTTGTCTGCAGGGGCAATAAATGTTTTTGTCCTAAACCTCTTTCTTCTGCTGAACTCAAAATAATATATTTGGAAGAATGTTGGTAACCAAACGTTGATGAACACCCTTAACTTCCATAGTATGAAGAAGAAGTGTTTATGTTGAGCAGAAGAAATAAATTCATACAGGTTTGGGAAAACTTGAGGGTGAGTAAATGATGACAGAATTTCCATGTTTAACTAAATGAGGTTCTGCCACCACAAGATGGCAGTCATATCATGATTCTGTTGGCTGTGGAAAGGTCAACGAGGACATATTAATGCTTCCTTTCCCCAATCATTAAAACCTCATCTCTTTCCCAGCCAAAGCAATAATGCTTACATTTGTCCTCACGCGACAGCACTGTTGATGGGCACATCTGCTTATAACCTAAACTCTTTTGTTTATTAGTCTTGATCCTCTAGTAAACAAGCATGGCATTTTTGCCCTCATCCTCAGATTAAAAAGTGTCCCCAGACTTCAGTCTCTCTTGGAAGATTGAGTGATCCTTCCTATCTAAATATTAAACATGTAACAGTGCAAATCTATCTGCTTACATCAAACTCAAACTTGTGTGACAGGCGTCCTCTCTCTTCATCTTTTAATCCTCAGAGACACAAACCCTTCCTTCCTTCATTCATTCCTTCCTGACTGATACACAAACCATTCCTTCCTTCCTTCTTTTCTTCCTTCCTTACTGAGACACAAACTCTTCCTTCTTTTCTTCCTTCCTTCCTGACTGAGACAAACTCTTCCTTCCTTCTTGTCTTCCTTCCTTCCTGACTGAGAAACAAACACTTCCTTCCTTCCTGACTGAGAAACAAACACTTCCTTCCTTCCTGACTGAGAAACAAACACTTCCTTCCTTCCTGACTGAGACACATGGGGTGCTTCTCAATATCCCTCCTCGTCTCCTCGCTCCTCCGTCCTCCCTCCTATGACCCGGAAACCGATCGAGCTCAGCCATCTTGAAGGACATCTCAATTCTCTAATTGCACCGTGAGGAGTCGAGGATCGAGGAGTGAGGAGGCTTCCTGAGGAGTCATAAGCGAGGATACACAGGTGCATCCTACGCGGAGCTGTTGACTAAACGTGACGCACGTGTCAATTCTCCTCCCCCTTCACATCGGTCACAATCATTTTAATTTATACTTTACCTTTGCAGTTTATATAAACCACACATCTCAGATATTTCAACAGTATAGCCTATCGTTATTATTATTTATTATGAATTTATTAAATAACCAAACTTCAACAACATAAGGGCAGATCCTTTTAGCGCTGCTGATGACAATGTGGAGTGACGCTCGAGTGATCAAGTATTCCAATGTATATAGAAAAGCTTTTATGCGATTCCTCTGTCCTCCTTTCCTTTCCTCGCTTCCTTCCCTCGCATCCTACAGGGGGTGGAGCCGAGACGCAAGGAAAGGAAGCAAGGAAAGGAAACGAGGATGCACAAATAAGAAATGAGAAGCACCCAAACTCTTCCTTCCTTCCTTCCTTCCTTCCTTCCTTCCTTCCTTCCTTCTTTTCTTCCTTCCTTACTGAGACACAAACCCTTCCATCCTCCTTTTCTTCCTTCCTGACTGAGAAACAAACCCTTCCTTCCTTCCTTCCTGACTGAGACACAAACTCTTCCTTCCTTCCTTCCTTCCTTCCTTCTTGTCTTCCTTCCTTCCTTCCTTCCTGACTGAGACACAAACTCTTCCTTCCTTCCTTCCTTCCTTCCTTCTTGTCTTCCTTCCTTACTGATTGAGAAACAAACACTTCCTTCCTTCCTGACTGAGACACAAACTCTTCCTTCCTTCCTTCCTTCCTTCCTTCTTGTCTTCCTTCCTTACTGATTGAGAAACAAACACTTCCTTCCTTCCTGACTGAGACACAAACTCTTCCTTCCTTCCTTCCTTCCTTCCTTCCTTCCTTCCTTCCTTCCTTCCTTCCTTCCTTCCTTCCTTCCTTCCTGAGACACAAACCCTTCCATCCTCCTTTTCTTCCTTCCTTCCTGACTGAAAAACAAACCCTTCCTTCCTGACTGAGACACAAACTCTTCCTTCCTTCCTTCCTTCTTTTCTTCCTTCCTTACTGAGACACAAAGCCTTCCTTCTTGTCTTCCTTACTACCTGACCGAGAAACAAACACTTCCTTCCTTCCTGACTGAGACACAAACTCTTCCTTCCTTCCTTCCTTCTTTTCTTCCTTCCTGACTGAGACACAAACCCTTCCTTCCTTCTTGTCTTCCTTCCTTCCTGACTGAGACAAACTCTTCCTTCCTTCCTTCCTTCCTTCTTTTCTTCCTTCCTTACTGAGACACAAACCCCTCCTTCCTTCCTTCCTTCCTCAGACACAAACCCTTCCTTCTTTTCTTCCTTACTGAGACACAAACCCCTCCTTCCTTCCTTCTTTTCTTCCTTCCTTCCTTCCTGAGACACAAACCCTTCCTTTCTTCCTTCCCTCCCTCCGTCCATCCTTCCTGAGACACAAACCCTTCCTTCCCTCCTTCCTTCCTGAGACTCAAACCCTCCCTCCTTCCTTCCTTCCCTCCTTCCTTCCTTACTTCATAATAAGAAGCATGTTTGTGCATATTTTGTTTTTCGTGTGATTTTTTTTTTTTTTTCCAGCATGCAAAGAGTCTGAAATTCTGATATGTTCAGAGCAGTTCTCTGATAGCTGAAAAGCAAAAGTGGACTTCAGTGCAGTTGCTTTGATTTTTATAAAGAGCTTCCGAGTGAGCTAGAACTTCAACATGTTCATTTCAGAGCACTCTTTAACGTTTCACTAGACTATAATGACAAATATTTAAAATACATGTGAATTTTTAACTGAACGTTGTGAAAAGAAATCAAATTGGATTCAAAACTGCTGTGCGAGTTGTTTTTGTAAGTAGTTGTGACGTACTGTACATTTAATTAAAAAAGGTATTCATTAATGAACTGCTTTAAACAGCTGTTTCAGTTTTGTTGCAGTGGATCTTTGAGGTTTAACCATCAATAATCTGATTAACTACTTTAATAGCTATGCATATCACATATATTAAAATCATTCTGACAGTATTAACCATTTATGCACACAGAAGGTTAATTGCACAGGCCTTTGCAAGAACACACACAAACATGAGCAATTGCGAGATTATGACAGATTAACAAAAACCAAATTAAAGTGACAAGGTGTTCAAAATCTCATCAAAATCAAAACAACAGATAATTCATAATCATGCATAATTTAACGGTGTAAGCAAAAATAAACATGTTAATATGATATAATGGACAAAGCAGTTTAGAAGAAAATAAAGTGTATTATTGTAGAAAGCTTGCCAATCATCCATGCAAGAAAATGTGGTGTTAGAGTTAGCAAAGCTTCAGTGTGGAGTTAAAGGTGTGTTGAGCTGACATGAATCACATAATTATAGGCTCACTGGAATCAGCCGGAGACTTGCAGCGTCGCATTGGGCCGGGACTCTTGGAGCCCCTCTGTCCTTTAGGGGTCTTCATTACCCGACACTCTACGGCAAGAGAAACAGAGAACCTTATTACACCCATGTGAGTCGCACATTGGCTATTTACATATGCAAATGTGAATCTGAATAATGCATTAAGCCATTTGAAAGCCTGATTCTGAGAGGCTAAATGAATGACATCCTCCTGCTCTCTTTACCGTCTCTAAAACACGCACAGACTGAAAGTGTTACTGAGATTATACAGATGTCACATTGAATTGACTAAACTGAGTTGCTTCTGCGGATATAGAAAAAATAGTAAAGGTATTAGTGTACAACATTCTGTTAGATATGTCAGTCTATTCTTCAAGTAAAAAAAAAAAAAACCATCATGGATGATTGGCAAAAAAACGGGCTTGAGCCAAATCGAAGGCTTTACTGATAACAAGGTGGATTAAAAATAGAATAATTAATTTTACCACTTTACCATATTTGAAAAATTGTAGATTGTTTGATTTAGAGAACTTTCTCCGTTTGGTCTGAAATGGGAATAATGTTAACCACAGAAGTTTCTTTATGTTCTTACTAACAGATTTTTTTATTCAAAGAAGTTAGTTTTGTTCCGTGTTGGGTGAGTTGCAAGACAATAATGTTACATGGTGGACACCTAACATCTCATTCTACCCCCAGACAGCAACATAGTGTCGGCCCAGATCCGGCCCACATCTGGGCCATGTGGAATCCATGTGTACCAGATGTGGGCCAGATCTAGGCCGACACTATGTTACAGACTTAGCTGTAAGAACGTCCAAGAGGAACGCAACAGTTTAAATTATAAATGTAGAGATTAAAAACGGGCAGATTTAGTTTGAGCTGTAAAAATGGACACACAACCAATTTATTCAATCACCAATATTAGATTTCTCATTTAAGCCTATTTATTAAAAGGTGTGACCTACCGTTTTCATCCAGAGAGAAGTCATCTTGTGCATAGCGGAATTTTTCTGGTCCACAGGCAATGAAAACGTCGTCATCACCAAAGAAATCTTGCAAGCAAGTCACCTACAAAGAATATAAGCAACAACATATTGAAACAAAGATATATAAGGGAGCTGGGTTAATCTGATCCAATTTGAGTTGATAATTGTTCATCATCAGTAACCCAATGGTGCTGGGTTGGAAATATTGTGAAAAAGGCATGCATGTCATGTGGTTTATTCCCTACTTTCAAACATTGAACCCACCCAGTGCTGAGCTTGTTTAACCCAGTCCTGGGTTGCCAAAGTACTCAAACTGGGTTGTTTTTAAGACATGTATCTCTGCCATTTCACATTTGTACATAGAGTTTCCTCTATCACTATTTGACATTCTGTGCTAAAATTGGGTCACCACCAGCCAAGTAAAGAGTCACACCCCAGTCTATCACTTAGTCTAACACACACACACACACAAAGAGAGAGAGAGAGAGAGACAGTGATATATGACAAAGCTAATCTATGCCGCCCTTGCCGCGAACAGCTGGCCAGCAGGGTGTGTGTCTGCATACTTAGATGCATTTGTGCGAGTGTGTGTGTGTATACGTATACATACATACCCCTACCTACATACAAATGGATACTCAGAAGTGAACAAAATCTGACAAAACCTCCAAAAATCTCTTTTTGAGATTGTCCTAATTTGCAAATCAGTATTATATATATATATATATATATATATATATATACGACGAGCTATAGGACTATGAAGCTTTGGGGTGTTCGATCTACTCCATCTGTGTTTCCATCATATTTCTGAATCTGATCTAGAAGTAGTCTTTGACAAAAACGTGATTTTCTCAGCTTTTTTTTATGAAACCCAGTTTTTTTTTTTAGCTTCTATAAGGTCTGTTCTGTCTTTTGATAAATAATGTTCAGATATTCATGAATTTTCTGCAGGCTATGAAAAAATGGAAAAAAAAATGCTAGCGGTGGCTGGCAACTTTTTTCAAAAACACTGGCAGGGAACGAGTTAATAAGGAATTTGAATAACGGCTGTTGTTTGATGTATTGTGGTTTTGTCGTTTCGTTTGATCACTGGAATTACAGATTCATTTTGGTGTTAATAGTGAAATGCATAACTCCAGGTCTGAGGATTACGGTAATGATCAGCCGTGGGCTCTATGACGATCTTGTTATAAATGTTATAAGTCTGTGTGTCAAAGAAAGCAGGGAAAGAAAAAACACTACAATATCTTGTTAAACCACTTTGCTGCCTTAGCGGTGTGACACTTACTGACAGATTCTGATAATTATCCAAGCTGACATTCAAAAGAAATCAATCCGCCTGTCAATCATGTGTCAGTCCAGCCCCCTGCACCTGCTGCCCCCTCTCCTTCCCCTGTGTGTGTGTGTGTCAGAACCGCTCATAAAAATGGGACAATAAAGAAGGCCTCACGGGACACACAATCTGCAAATTGTTCCCGGACACACCCAGTCCAGCACAAAATATAAATTCAAGTGAACGATAAACTTTACGCTTAATCTCAGTAATATTTTTGAATGAGCTCTGGGTCAAAGAGGCCAAAGGTCAAGAGGTGCGTGATGAAACCATGGCAACAGTGATGTCCTCAAAGGACAATGCTGGGGGATAATTTCTCTAGATATATTATTCATGCACATATAAATAAACGGAATAAAACTGCCTTTGTGTTCCAAGCAAATTTGCAAGTATTGTTTTTTTTTTCATTTACACTCCAGATGTTTAGAGAGTTCCAAAATTAGGGATCCAAAGTATTTACTTGGAGTAACCCATTAATGTTGTAACCTCTACATAAAAATAATAATAAATAGTCGATTTAATTAAAACATTGTATTATATTTTTAAGAACATTGCTAAAGGAAGATTGCAGCTTTTCAAAATATTCACATCAATTATTTAGATTAAAATAGAGTCTGGTTGGTTGTAGTCATTCTAATACTGAATTTGGATCAGTGTTAGCATGTCCTGAAGGGAAGAGGCCTTTAGTCAAGATACTCAGTGATTTCTGTGCTACTTGTTTATGCGTGTGAGATTTTAGTGTGTGTGCAGTGCAACTGGAAGCTAAGATTCAGGGTGTGTGTGTGTGTCTGACCCTCATCTGTCACCTCATGTCACCTCCAGACACTACTAACTGAGTTTGTTCCAGGCAGCCAATGTGACAGACTGAACTAACAGAGTTCAGATCACAGTCAGCAAGCGAAACATGAAACATTTGAGTGTGTGTGTGCGTGTTTGCCTGCATTGCCAGAAGTGATGGGAATAAATTAAGAAGTGGGTGGTGGGCGTGGCCCTTCCCTGGATCAATGAACCAATCAAATGAGCTGTTTTCAGTCCCTATAACCATCTAGCTTCGGGATTATTGAGCTGGAATTCATGTTCCATGTTGCCCTTAAATGACAATGATGGGTTTCCTGAGGTCAGCATCTAGGAAGGTCCTACATTACAAAATGATTTGCTTATAGCTCACAGGCAGCTGTGTGTGTGTGTGTGTGTGTGTGTGTGTAAGGGACGGGTGATTTGCTTTGTCATGTGACATGATAAAAAGTGAAGGCAGAATGCCTCAAACTAACAGAGGCGATCTTCATACTAACAGTGAAACGATGTGAATCTGTCTGTCTGTCTGTCTGTCATCTGTCTGTCTGTCTGTCTGTCTTTCTATCTGTCTGTCTGTGTGTCTATCATCTGTCTGCCTGTCTGTCTGTCGTCTGTCTGTCTATCATCTGTCTGTCTATCTATCTATTGTCTGTCTGTCTATCGTCTGTCTATCTATCTATCATCTGTGTCTATCTATCTATTGTCTGTCTGTCTGTCTGTCTATCATCTGTCTGTCTGTCTATCTATCTATATATCTATCTATCTATCTATCGTCTGTCTGTCTGTCTGTCTGTCTGTCTGTCTATCTATCGTCTGTCTGTCTATCATCTGTCTGTCTATCTATCATCTGTCTGTCTATCTATCTATTGTCTGTCTGTCTGTCTGTCTATCTATCATCTGTGTGTCTGTCGTCTGTCTGTCTGTCTGTCTATCTATCTATCTATTTATCTATCTATCGTCTGTCGTCTGTCTGTCTGTCTATCGTCTGTCTGTGTATCTATCTATCGTCTGTCTGTCTATCGTCTGTCTGTCTATCTATCATCTGTCTGTCTGTCTATCTCTATTGTCTGTCTGTCTTTCTGTCTGTCTATCTATCTGTCTGTCTATCGTCTGTCTGTCTGTCTGTCTTTCTATTGTCTCTCTGTCTGTCTGTCTATCTATCATCTGTCTGTCTGTCGTCTGTCTGTCTGTCTCTATTGTCTGTCTGTCTGTCTATCATCTGTCTGTCTATCTATCTATTGTCTGTCTGTCTATCGTCTGTCGTCTGTCTATCTCTATTGTCTGTCTGTCTATCGTCTGTCTATCTATTGTCTGTCTGTCTGTCTGTCTGTCTGTCTATCTATCATCTGTGTGTCTGTCGTCTGTCTGTCTGTCTATCATCTGTCTGTTTGTCTATCTATCTATCTATCTATCTATCTATCTATCTATCTATCTATCTATCTATCTATCTATCTATCTATCTATCTATCTATCTACCGTCCGTCCGTCCATCTAATATCTATCTATCCATCTATCTATCTGTCTGTCTAAATTGTTTTGGGGCCACTGTATATAAAATACAGTTTCTTGTAATACATTTACTAATCATTTATATGTCGGAACCACGTAATTTTAGAACAACCAAGAAATGCTTTGGCCTGTATAACAAAAATGTTAATGTCAATACATTGTATTAAAACTGATAAAAGATTTAAAAAGTACAATATAAAAGACTAATTCAAATAACACATCCTATTGTACACTATCCTTATTAAATGAATTTAGAAGAATATGGCTGATGAAGATAAAGGTACATTGTGTTCACATCCCTTTGATCGTGCAACCGTTGAACACACTGTCCTTTTGAACATTCGCCCACTTGATGTGTCCCTGTGTGTTCTAGTGGCATTAGGGGGTTCAACGAGTAAACAAATAAAATAATAATACAAATTTGTGTGTTGAGTGTGCAGAGTGAATCTATGCATGCTGGGTATTTTTTTGCTACTCCACTGTTCCTGTCTCCATCACACTCACTAAAAGGAACTTCATATGAATGTCATATGATTCCATGCAGCTCAAATATTTTTACCAGACATGAAACTATACTTTCTTTAAACATTACAATATGTTGCAATTCTTAAATAAAGAAATAAATAAATTAACCTGTTAAACATGAAACAATATTACGCAGTCATTTAAGACATTTCTCCTTATATAGAACCTAAAGGGAATAAAGGGTTCATTAAAAATGAATCGAGAACCCCACAATGAACCTTTTTTTTCTTCTAAAAGTGTGTCTCATTCAAAGACAACATGTAACATTCAATCTCATCAACATTACATTTTTATGAGAATGATACTCTATCCAGGAACAAATATTAGACAGAGCAAAAAGGTAAATGCCAGACTCCCAGCGGACCCCTGAGTCAACAGGGACTGACTTCTGATTATGAGTCTGTCACTCAAACAGAGATATACAGGGATTTTTAGACTCTATAAGTGATATATCATGCATAATAAATCATGCATGTGATCTGATAAAAAAAACAATGCTTAATGTTAATTAATATTAATGAATCAATCAGCTCTGCTTTGTTGCTGCCTTTTGAAAGGTTGTGCATGTCGGCATATGTGTGTGTGTGTGTGTGTGTGGGTGTGTGTGCAGGAAGACACTCATTCCCGACAAAGTTAGTTTATGAAATGTAATAATTTTTGTTTTGTTTCCAGATTTGTTTTTTTGTTTTTTCTGGTCAAATTTTTCTGGTCAAATATTTAGCATCAAGTGTTATATTCATTTTCTGCCTAAATGTCACATACTGTACAAACAAGCTGTAGTTGGTCATTTTACATGTCATTCAGATAGCCTCCTATCTAAATGGGTTGTACTTGGCCAGAATAATCTTCAAAACGGACCAGACTTTATGCGGTTAGTTGAAAGCCAGGCTCTGTATTCAAAAAGTCAAGTTGATATG